TCTGGATCGTGGTGATTGTGATGGTGTTCGTGCCCCACCTCGCACCTTCTCACCCCTCCAGTCTGAGGGTGCTTTATCTAACCTCCCTTCCTTCAGCTGAGTGGAATTTTCTTTCCCCCTCCTGCATTGTTTCCGGGCTTAACTTATGGCCCCAAATCACAGAGCTTTCTCAAGCCGTATAGAAATCAATTCTCTCGAGAGAGCGCTGTTTTCTATTACGGCGAGTTTGCTTGCCAGAAACACAGTAATTCTTTGCAATGAAATATATTCTCGGCCTTCATCCGTAAGCCTTTGTTGCCATGGCGACGCGAAATTACTGGCACCGCTCGAGCACCGCAAGAAGTGGAAACCTGTGGGCGATCCCGGGTTCGGATATCGGGTTTGGGATTTCTTCAGTCTCTCCAGAGACTGGTATCCACGTGCACCAATTCGGCACGGTTCAGTGGCCAAGACTGCTGGTTCGTATTGGGAGGTCCCGGATCGAGATCTTTGCCTGGAAATAGACTGTCCTGTCCGGGGCTTTTCGTTGGTTTCCTCAGCCCCTTGAGGCGAATTATGTCGCGGACGCTTTCTTCCACATACTTTTCAATTCAGCCCTGTGTACCATGTGATACAGTGACGTAAATGAGCCATGTGTATGCTTGATATAGAGAGGTCGCGCCATAGCTCAAGCGGTTAATCGCTGGCTTCCCACCGCGGCGACCCGGTTTCGAGCCCGGGTCTGGTCAAGTGGGATTTGTGGTGGGCAAGTGGCGCTGGGAGAGGTTTTCTCCGAGTACTTCGGTTTCCCTTGCCAATCTCCATTTCACCAATTTCTCCATAATCGTAATCACCGGGGGCAGGTACAATAGGCCAATCAGTGGCCGACGTGACCCAACTGGACTCAACCCCCCACTATGCGAAAAAAAAAATGCTTGATACAGTAGAACCTATATAGTTGCACAAGTGTTGTGAAATAATACAGTAATTAATCAGTAACGCCTAAATGTAGGATAATGCTGAAATTTTGAGTAGAGGACTACGTACATGTGTATGTGAATTAGATTGTGCTGTGCCGGTGACGGTCTTTGGTACTAACGAGAAGAATTGGTGGGGGTGGGGGGGGGCGTGACTGCCGCTAGTGTTAGTATCACGGCTGCTGCAGCCACATGGAGCAGGAGCAAACAAGCTGTTTCAGCTGTACCGCCCTTTGAATTCAGCATGCCGCAGCACCCCGGCTCAGCAGCTGTCAGCCCGTCACGCAACACGTTCCTGTCGGACAGGTTGCCGTAGCTACCTCACTGGTCTCCACTCGCCGAGCAGCGTGCTTCGGACGGTGACGTTTAGTACTTGCATTCCGGAGGGCACCGACACTCCTGAGTCGGTTTTTACGTGAATTTCCTCAGATCCTCCACGAAAATATCGGGATAGTTAGTACCTTAAACCTAGGCAACGACCGTTCCTTCCACATCTTTCTGAATTCATTATTCACAATCCAGTCATTCAACGCTATAAGGTTCGGCCACAGAGAGCGCTACGTACGGTATGTTCGCTATACGAACAGAAAAATATTTCCCTATATTGCCAATGTGACTGGCCACACAGACTTCCGTACGCTTCGTACGCTATGTTCCCTATGTTAGCTGTGTCACAGAGTGTACACAGCGTACGTAGCGTACGTAGCGAACATAGCGTAGCGCATTTTGTGGCCGAACTTATAGAGTCTTAGTTTCAGATAAAGGCAAAAAGGTAAAGGTATCCCTGTAACAGACTGTGGAGGTCCATAGGGTTGTGAGACGTCGAGACTCACAGATTTTCTAGACCAGCCGTGTCAGACATGCGGCCCCTCAACTTTTACAGCTAATTGATATTAAAATCAAAACATTTTACTCGTAGTAGAAATATTTTTTGTAAAGACAATTTCCCAACAGACCAGAAGACAAGAAGTCTCACGCAGACATAAATTAGCAGGCTGCAGGAAAAGTGATTCTGACAATTGCAGGAGGGTTTGTGCAACTGACGGTTTGTAAAGTGCGTGAAGGGCAAACTATTGTATTTGAGAAGGTTAATGCACTAAAATCCGCACAGTCTCACCACCCCAAGTATTTCCAAGAATCCCTTTTGGAGGCGTAGTAAGAATGCAAGGAGGGTGGCAACTGGCAGTCAAGTGCAAGGGATTTCTACCTTCAAAACTAGCTTGCAACCCCCAGTCATTGTGTAATGGGCTGCTAGCAAACTTTCACTTTTATGACCATTGAGACAAGATACACCTTCCTACTAGTCCGGTAGTCTCTTGTACATTGTCATTCAGTTCATTTTCACACAGCGACAGGTGCTGATGTTACATTGTGATGAACGTATAAAGGTTATAATTAAACATTAAATTATCAACTACGAGTTTTCTTGTATATGTACAGTAACTTTTAAAGGGCAATGTCGCTTTCAAAAATTCAAGTAGCAAAAAAAGATCTATTGAAAGTGAGCGCCATGTTTTACAAGGAAAATGGGAAATCGCTTATTTCTGTTGTGAAATAGAAGGTAAAATTACATGTTTTATTTGTGGGCAAAATATGTGTTCCACTTTAGGTAATTATATTGAAATTATTCCTAAATAATAGATAGAATTAAATTTCCTTGTAACAAAATCTAATGTATATTTCTATTCTGAAGTGCGGCCCTGGACTATTATTTATAGGGCTGAGGTGGCCCTTTGTACTAGTTGAGTTTGACATGCCTGTTCTAGACAATCGGGTCACAGATGGCGATGAGGTTGTCAGCTTTACGCGCCGGCTGCCCTTTACCCCCGAGGAAGATTCCTGGTATTCATTTCTGTTAGAGGCTGAGTCAACCCCAGGACCATATTACGGCTGGAAGGATTAGGTCAATTGAAAAATACAGCGACCTCATTGGGGAATTGAACCCGCGACCTTCCCGGCTTGTAGTATAGCGGCCTCAGCCGACTACGCTACCGCGTGGCAACTGAGTTTCTGATAACTTTAAATGAACTGCAAACAAATAAGGAAAGCGATACCCGGTCGACCGGTGTCTCTCGTCTTGGCGCAGTGCAGTGTAGGCAAGGCATGTATGTTTCGTGGTTATCGTAGCCAAGAGCCGGGGTACCTTAATCAGAGCAGCGATCTGACCGGGTCTGACGGTGGCCAGATGGGCTCTGGGGCCCGCCGAGCCTCTCATACCGCGGATGAGAATGCATCCACGCCCCCATACGTCTTCATAGCCTCTTGCCTTTTCGCCACAAGCAAAATATTTTGTGTAGTCGCCATTTAAAAACTTCGTATACTCCTGAAAGGTTTGTCATGATACAGACTTTCGGACCACTACATTCGGCGATGCTTTCAGACCTTAAGAACTCGCGGAGGCGCCATGTTGTTGTCAGTTTGTTTTATTCATTTGGTTATTTCACTGCACAGTCAGTAACTGAGACTATGGCGTCGGGTGATTGGATGATAGTAATGATGTGGAAGGAAGCCGTCATGGCGTAATTTTTTGTATTATCCCAGCATTGCCCGAGCTGTCTGCTGTCAGGTTTGGAAATGTTTCAGGCAGCCCATGCTGGGTTGGTGTGTTTAGTATCGTAGTTGATGGGCAGTCTTGAATGATGACCCGGTCAATAAAGCGAATGCTTAGGAACTGGACGACTGAGGCAGAGGCTTCTGTTTGGCAGCTCTGGGACTAAATCATCCTCTTACCCAGTGGGTACCAGGAGCGTGAAGCTGACCATTCACAGTAATCAAATCCTGAGATTAGAAATACGTGAACCATTCCCTCGACTATGTCATAATGGCATGATGCTTACTTTTGTAGGACCGAGAGGTTGATATCAAGCAGCATGTGACGTGTGTAGCTTCCCGTTGTCCCAGGGCATGCCTGTGGGACAGGGCCCTCGGGAGGTTATAGTGTTTGCTACGTTCAGGCTTTGTTTGCGAAGTAAAGAATCGATGCGAAGACACTGTACGTACTTTCTCCTATACTTTTACGATTGACCTTGACTACGTTACGTTGGAAACAATCGGTTGCTGTTCGTTTGACCAGTGCTGTTTGCTGAATGCCAAACAACAGTAAAATCCATGTGACCCACGAAGCCTCTTTGGACAAAATGGACGTCAAGTTTGGGGCGCTGGTGCACTTGCCGTTATTTTCCTGAAGACACCGCTTTTGCAGTTTTATTTAGGGAGATGGTCTCTGTGCATTACCGAAACTTAATGAGAACTGTTAGAGCCGTTTTCGAGAAAATCGCCATTTTGTTTGGCGGAGGGGGGGTGTCGTGATGGGCCCTTGGAGCTGGAATATATAGATTCACCGAATGCTGACCGACCTAGGATGGTTGGACTCCTGACGTTCAGGCGCTAGCGAGTCTCACACCTGTGCAGACAGACCAGAAACAAGTTTTTCGTAGTAAGGAGTGCTGAAGGCTGCGCCATAGCTCAAGAGGTTAGTCGCTGGCTTCCCACCACGGCGGCCCGGGTTCGATCCTGGGTCTGGTCAAGTGGGATTTGTGGTGGACAAAGTGGGGCTGGGGCAGGTTTTCTCCGAGTACTTCGGTTTTCCCTGCCAATCTTCATTCCACCAATTGCTCCACTATCATCTGAGGCAGGTACAATAGGCCAAAAGTGGCCGCAGTACAAGGGACTTAGTCCCACCCCACTAGCATTAAAAAAAAGGAGTGCTGAAAACACGCAAATCCGTCAAAACGTCGGGATTGATTTTATGTAAGCATTGACAGTACTCTCTCATATTGCGTACAGCAACTCCTGGTGTGGAGTCAGGTCTGTCTGATTCAAAACCGATGCACGTATTGTTTTGATTTGATATGGCAGACGTTTACAAAAAGGTGAATGTGATTTTCGGCCATGTAGTTCCACGATAAAGTCCCTGTATGTAAATCATAAACCGTTAATTCTGTTTCATAAATTTCCGCAAGTAAATTTGTTAAAATCTAAAGAACGCCACGTGAAGTTGTCTTGTGTTTTGCAGTACACACACGCTGTCCAATCTTGTTTCAGCAATGCCGAGATTTCTTCGGGCGCGTGGTGCAGCATGGGAAGACTCCAGCAGACAGAGGTAAGTCTCTTGTGATCCCGTGGGATATGAAGTCCCGACACTGACGTGCAGAAAATTTGCATAAAATTTTAATTGAAAATTAATATGAGCGAGCAATTCTTTGCGCGCTCTAAGTACGTTCCCATTTGTTTGCTCGTCCCGGGGTTTGTTTTGTTAATGAGATTCGCCCGCCCCGGGTCACGTGGGTGCTGATGGGATTGTTACGGCTAATTAGACAGAATAATTACAGTGTTTAACTTGAAGCTAGCTTTGTTCAGAGTAAACCAATCAACGGTTATAGGTTTCTGCAACCGCATGGGACCGGTTGTACCGACTGCTGCGGAACTAATTCCAGTGTTTATTAACCGTAATCATACAAACTGCTTAAATATGTCACATTGATGTGAATTTGTTTCACTGATATAACTAACTCCAGTGTCCTTGAGAGGCTGGTGATTTCTCAACACGTGAGGGAACTCTCCGTGTTTTGTGGAACCCGGCGTTTCTTTGCCATGTTCATCGTAACTCGGTGCTGGTCCCAGTCATGAACTAGTGAATGTAATTCATACCTTACATCAATTTAATTTAAGACTCATTTTAATATTATCTTCCCATCTACGCCTATCATTTTTCCCTCCTGGTTCTTTGCCTAAAATTCTGTGTATGTTTCTCATGTCTTGGATGAGTGCTACGTGGTCTTCCCATGTCACCCACCTAGGTTTGATCGCCATAATAACATCTGGCTAGGAGTATAACTGGGAGAAAACTGCATAATGAGGAGCTTAATAACTTGTCCTCTTCTCCAAGTATAATTAGAATGATCAAGTCAAGGAGAATCAGATGTATAGGGCATGTAGCACGAATAAGGAAGAAGAGAAATGCATATAGGATATTGGTGGGGAAGCCAGAAGGAAAGATACCACTAGGAAGACCAAGGAGTAGGTGGGTGGACAATATTAAAATGGATCTTAGATAGGATGCGATGGTATGTATTGGATTTGGCTGGCTCAGGATAGTGACCAGTGGAGGGCTCTTGTGAACACGGTAATGAATCTTCGGGTTCCATAAAATGCTGGGATGTTCTTGAGTAGCTGCAGAATTGGCGGCTCATCCAGAAGGGCTCAGCTCCATGAGTAAGTAAGTAAGGAGTACAACTTATGAAATTTCCCGCTGTGCAGTTTTCTCCATCCTCCCATCATTTCATCCCTCTTGTCCCAAATATTCTCTTTACTCTACCCCTTGCCAGATGAATCTATCTAGTACCCTTATCCTGTTTCTTTAATTCCTTTTAATATTCTGTCATCTATGCACAGGTTCTTCAGTTGAAATGTTCACTTGGACAGACATCCATATATAAACTAGGACTTCATATTGCTCAGAACTCTGTTGTCATTAAGGAAAGATGAGGCCTTTCACACACTGCAGCATAGTGCATTGTGACAACGAGTATATATTATATTAACCCCTTCCATGTTGTACCTAAAGGACCCATCTTCTGTCAGCATGATTCCACGAAATGACGCAGATAGGTAACTTCATGTGTTGTGATGGTCTCATGCACCCAGTACATGCTGATCAGGAGGTCGGTTGCTTTCAGGCGAGATATCTCGTGCGTAGCGTGGAGATGCTGGAATGTACTTGTAGTTTCTCTAAGATAAAGAAGTCACATTGCCGGTCACGGTAGCCGAGCGGTCTAAGGCATGCACTGTCTTCGCTCGCTCGGAAGCCAGGATCGTGGGTTCGAATCCCACTCAGGGTATGGATGTTTGTGTGTGTTTTTCTGCGTTTGTGTATAGGTAGAGGCCTTGCGACAAGCTGATCACCCGCCCGAGGAGTCCTACGGAATGTGTAAGATCTAGTAAAACCGAAGTGAAACGGAGAGTTTCATGGAGGTAGGCCTAGGCCCAAATTGGGGCTGTAGCGCCAATGGAAAAAAAGTCACATTGGAAAGTGGTTATCTTGAGCAGTGAAGGCCATGCCACTCAGAATCTGATAACAGAGAGTGACATAGTCCGTATAGAAATATAATTTTGCACGTTTGTATGGGTGTGAAGCCTGGTCTCTCACATTAAGGGGAGAACACATACTGAGGGTGTCTGGAAACGAGGTACTAAGGGGATTATTTAGACCTAGGAGGGAGAATGTAACAGGAGGGTGGACACCAGTTGCATAATGAATAGCTTCATAATTTGTGCTCTTCTCCGAATATCGTTAGAGTGATCAAAAAGCTTGGTATAATTCCATTGATACTGTTAAGTTGTATTTCTGAGGAACTAGTCTATGGCTTGGGTTAATTTTGCTCACAGTAGTACAAAGCGGTGGTCTGTTTTGGACAAACTGGTAATGAAACTTTGGGTTTCGTAAAAGACAAAGGATTTCTTGACCAGCTGGGCGACTGTTGGCTTCATATGAAGGACATCGCTGCATGGAGGTAGAAGAGTGTGCCGTAATTATCTTATGAGGTTGTTTCACATTACCGACGTTGGACCATCTTGTTGTGTTACCATGGAATACACAGGCAATGACGGTAGGCCGTAACGAATTTCAGTGTTATTACACGGACCTGTTCGGATTTAAATGCGTTTTGTTTCAGCATGCACAGATGAGATTGTGAAGAGTGACATCTGGTTTCACTACAAGGAAGGTTTCAGCAATGCTGTGCGCAGGTCTGTCAAGATCCAAGACCTACTGAACAGTGGAGGGATGTGAACGAGAAGTTTGTGATGTCAGAACACAACCCCTTGTGGTGGTGAAAACTGCAGTCTTCCGCGATATGGCGCCATGTATTCTGGTAGATAGTGACGAACACTGAAGAGGAACTGTACCTCACTTCTGGAAGACTAAGGCAGTTTGTTCTCTAAAATGTTGGTAACCATGAACCAGACTTTACACATCGCAGGGAACCAAAATCTTGTGTTATTTAGCATGGTTGTATCATGTTCCCCCTCCCCCCCATTTTCACTAATTGTCATCAGTGTGGATCTGAGTGAATTGAATAGAATAACCAGAATTCTGTGCTGAAGCCATGGAAATAAATCTCATGGACTGATCTCATCTCCCTCCAACATTTTTTTTATTGTTAGTGGGGTGGGACTAAGTCCCATGTACTGCGGCCACTTCTGGCCTATTGTACCAGCCGCAGATGATAGGTGAGGGTGATTTTGGAGCAATTGGTGGAATGAAGATTGGCAGGGGAAACCAATGTACTCGGAGAAAACCTGCCCCAGCGCCACTTTGTCCACCACAAATCCCACTTGACCAGACCCGGGATCGAACCCGGGCCGCCGCGGTGGGAAGCCAGCGACTAACCGCTTGAGCTATGGCGCGGCATCCCTCCAACATACTACCCTATATTCCCCTCCAGTCCTATAGCCATTCTGTTCACATGAATATTGGTAGTGATAGCCATGCGATAATCTTCAGTAGCGATGAGAGACTGTGGCTGGAGGGGGAAAAGCACAAGTAAGCAGAGTGTGGGAGGCCTGAGTCTCACTACCCCCACCATCCATGGGACTTCTCTCTGTGGCCTTAGTGTAGAAATATATGATTTCAGGTAAAATGGCGTTATTACATCTAGGCTAACAGGTGACTAGCAATTTCTCTTCAGTCCGAAATTACAAGTAGAAATCTCCGTTCATACATTGTTTGTCAGATCGTAACACACTTAGATACATATTTTGGATTTTGTAGCAGATCATTCTGTGTCAGTGTTGATAACAAACAGACGCGACCATTGGTGACCATTGTTCAGTTCTTTAACTTGTTTCCATTATGTCATTATTTTCTATTTGTGCGCCATCTTAATGTGGTACCCCTTTTGTTGTTCATGCATCCTGCATGCCTGAGTTAGGAGCACATCAAGCCCATTATGTGGCTTCTGTGTCTGTGTGAAGCTGTATGTCTCATGCAAACTTGTTCTTTGATGTCATGCACAACACATATGATGTAAGATTAACAGGATTTCAGTTGTAAGGGAGACGTGTGTTTTATTGGAGACAATTGTGATGTGTGGGTCTGTGTATGTAATGACAATACTCCATACATGAAGCAAATATTTCCAGTTGTGTTCCTTGCAGCACTTATACAGTGCTCTCAGAAATGATAATATTGTACTATTCCTGTCAGTTTTCTTGAGTCCTCAATTCCCTGTCTTCTATTGAAAGAATTTTGGTGTAGTATGGCGGATTTTCGCCCAACAGAAAACATATGTCAAGACCTGCTGTAATCAGTATACTGTTAGACAAATTACTGTGGATGTTTCATAGTTTTCTTCAGGCAGGAGAACAGCAGTGTATGCGCACAGCACCACTCTCCCCATAACCCCTTGTGTGAGAATGCAATACGTCTGTGTGTCGAGTTATATACAGAGTGTCCGGATGAAAGGTACCCAAAATAAAACATTATATCTCAGAAAGAATTTATTATACACATTAATGAGTTACACTATTACAAAGGGAAACTATCAAAGTTTTTTTTACTGCTTATATAACTTTCTTAATAGATTTAAATGTGGGCTCCCTTGGTGGCACGACAAATATCCAGGCTTGNACTGCGTATATAACTTTCTTAATAAATTTAAATGTGGGCTCCCTTTGTGGCACGACAAATATCCAGGTTTGAAGCATGTTTGGTGTTACCGTAGCCACAGCGTCCCTTATGCGGCCTTTCAGGTGTTGAAGGTCGTTGATCTTAACCTGATAGATAATGTTCTTCACATAACCCCACAAGAAGAAATCCACTGGCGTTAAATCTGGCGACCTGGGAGGCCAAGCGATTGGTCCACCTCTGCCAATTCATATCCCAGCCATCTCTCTGTCCAGATGATTCCTAATATGGTGGCAAAAATATGACGGCGTATGCGCGTAAGCCGGGTATGAAAAAAATACTTTCAGAGTTTTCCTTTCCGATGACATAAACCAGATACGTGTATGAAAATTAGTTTCGGAAATATATATTTTTTATTTTGGATACCTTTCATCCGGACACACTATATTGGTGTCATCCCAGTTGACCAGCTGAGTTATCTCTGAGCAGAAGCCTAGCTATTCAGAGTACTTCTTTATCTCAGTAATCAAGGAATCATTCTCTGGTGATGGAGATACAGAATGTGTCCAACATTGGACATGTAGTCCAGAGTGACGCCGCTGGTCACCTGGGAAGATTTTGATCTGTTTCGGCCTTCATGAAAGCTTCAGTATCCTATTATTAAACCGTCTTATAACCCATACAAATCTTGCAGCGACATGCTTCTGGTTGATGTGCCCAGACAACTTGTACACCTCACCCGGCAGTGCTGCCAACTATGCAGCTTTCCTCTTATTGAAGTTATTCAGCGCCCCTAATGCTAATGCCATGTGTGAAATTCTATTTTGAGTCACTTCAATCCAGTTTACATCTTCATATCCATTCTGATAAGTCCATTTTAATATTATCCTCATTTCTGCGTGTAAGTCTCCCCTTTGATGCCTTTCTGTGAAACTGATATCTCTCTGAGGATAGGAAGCAAAGATAAGAGAAAGTGGCTTCCTGATTTACCATTTTCTTTCCAAAGCTGTTAATTCGTCACCTGATCAAGAAAACTCCTCCTTTTGCAGAACCCAAGAATTCATCACTGCCTTCACGAAATCCTGCCGCTAGTCACCGTCCTGAGCCAGCTCAATCCATTTCACATCCTCACAATATATTCACCAGCTGCCATGAGTGACTACTGTCCAGCTGTCTCCATAGAGATGCTCCCCACAAAGGAAAGTGGTCGCTGATGTCTTTTGTCACGTTGTCTGAGGTAAGTGGTGGAAATGAATGCGTAATGGGGAGGTAGTGCGTGTCTGCATTACGTCTCTGAAACTACAGAAGCAATTTCAATGTGGTCAGTGGTACAGATATCTTACAATTTGTCTTTTGTATGTATCAGCCCAGTGTAATCCGCTCATTACGCGAAACATTCATAAAGAGACAGTGGTCTGATGGGATGTGACGCCGTTTAATGTGGTAGATTCCCACCAATATTTTGTAACAAACCTGGTTCCTCCACGTAATATTCACCGCAATGTGAACTCAAGTTTCAGAAAGTTTCTTTGATTTTAATAGAAACAACTTATTGTGCAGAAGCTAAAATATAGGCCTCATTAAAATGTTGAATTTAGTATGAAATGACGCTGATACGGCGGACATTTAATTAACTGCAAGGGGAAACAATTTTAATTGCACTATAGGACTGTCTTTTGTAACCAGTGCCTCAGTGATATGTTTGGGTATTCAGTAACTGAGCGTCAAGACCACTGATATATGCAAACTTACATATATTGTGAGACCATGTAACCTGGTAGGTGGATACCTACATTTTTCCTCTTGTGAGAATATATATTTGTTTCTACCTACCTGCATGCGCGATGTCGTAGACCAGGAGACCACTGTGAGAACCTCAAATCGTATTATTGTGGCATGTTTGCTCAAAGCAAGAACTTTAAAACCAGAAGAGACAGTCGCTGCTAGGGAACGGCTTTGCAAACGCCCGTTGCTAGGCAACAGCTTCATATGCATGCAACAATACCCGAACCATCGCTAAGCAACGTCCCTATGCAACAGTGCAGGAACTGTTAGAAGCGGTGTTTTCGGCGCGTTCCTTGCCAAGGCTTTATATAACGGGGACCAGCTATCAGTCAGTGGTCATGTGACTAAGCTGCCGTTGTAGCACAAGTAAGACAGGCATGATCTGCTTTCCAAAGCCTGGATTGACATGGGATTTGTATATAATGCAAAAGGAAGAATCTTCAATAATATGCTACATGTGCGATACGTACACTTGAAAAAGGCCAAGACTGTTTGTAAGAGAAACCCATCCTCTCGTCAGAGAGAACTCACGTAAGGACTATGACCGCAAGGGTTCAGTTGCAAGAAAAGATCTCTGTTCGTGTGCCTCAAAGGGGCTTGGCGCCAAGCCGAACTGATTGGCGGTAAACCGCCAATCATAAAGTAACTCAGTACTCTGAATTCTGCAGGGAGGCAGTTGAGAGTTGCAGCAGCTGAGGTTGGGGACAGTTCTGGAACGCAGAGGAAGAGGAACATCCGCCGTTGGAAGCCGCAACCAGGCAGCGCAGTGAAGACCGTGACTAAGAACACTAGTCTGTGTGGTATAATGATTTCTATAGTCACCCGTGACTACACTTTACAAATCACACATATGACTAATGTTCCCAGTCACGGTCTTCACTAGCCGTTGTTGAGTAGCGGCTTCAGTGGTGGACGTTACTCTGTCTCTGGGTTCCGGAGCTGTCCCCGGCCTCAGCTCACAGCTGATACTCTCAAATGTCTGTCTGCAGACTCTCGTCTCTGACTGACTAATGTAAAAGTCAAAGTTATGTTACGAGCGACGGTTAGTCGGTCAGTCTGTCTTGGTGTCAAGCCCCATCTGGGGCCCAGCACAAGATTCTTGTTACTGTCAGATAGCTGCGGGTGTGCTGATGTGGGGCGCTCTCTCTGACGAGGGGACGGATCTGTCGTTTATAATTGCTGCTAGCCCTTGCCAGCGCAGGAATTTTTGGATCCCCGAGTCCCGTGGGACTCATGGCCTTAATTTACTGCCCGGTCGCCGTATTTATATTCCCCAGGAACAGGGTTACCCAGTTATACCCCCAGACACTGCGTTCCACTTTCGTCGCCTCCTGCACGGACTGCGCAGAATACACTGATTCCAACATTTCCTCCATTGTTGCATGGGCACGTTGCTTAGTGATGGTTCTGGTATTGTTGCGTGCTTACGAAGTTGTTATCTAGCAACAGACCTGTTTGCAGAGCCGTTCCCTAACAACAGCTGTTTCTTCTAGTTTCGCGGTTTTTGCTCTGAGTAAACATGCCACAATATGAAAAATAGCCGCAAACTTCTAAACTGTCAGTTTCTCGTATTTTTTTGGGTACAACACAACTTCGAGAGGGAGGACTTCGATGAATTGATTTATAGGTCGGACTTGGTGTCACACTGCTTGCGCGCACAACAATCATACG